CACACTATCTCTCTCTCTCTCTCTCTCTCACACACACTATCTCTCTCTCTCTCACACACACACACTATCTCTCTCTCTCTCACACACACACTATCTCTCTCTCTTTCTCTCACACACACACTATCTCTCTCTCTTTCTCTCACACACACACACACACACACTCACTATCTCTCTCTCTCTCATATTATTTTATGGGGTGCATCATTTCATCCAAAATGTTTGCTACTTGGGAGATAAAACGTATTTTGTTCAAAAACACGCACAATTGTCGTCAGTGTCGGTCAGCTTGGCATGTTCTCAGTTCCTGCTTTCAGAATAAAATCAGCCTGATTCCACGTTAAAACTGAGACAGGTTCTGAACAAGGCCTCACAGCTACAATTTATTGTCTGACTGTGTCGACTCTCCTGCTCCTCTGATGCCTGATCTGATTTGTTCCTCCAGCTCCACATTGCATTGAATCTGAGTCCAGCATCTGCAAAATTCTTGCTATCTGCAACTTCATACTGTCCATACCCACCATCCCACTCTCATGCCCCCATCTCAAACAGCTCCTATGATGCTGCTTGGCCTGCTGTGTTCATCCAGCCCTGCACCTTGTTGTCTCTTCCCTTCTGTGGACTGGCACAACTTCACCAGCACAGCCATTCCCACCCAATCACTCCCCAACTCCACCCGTCCCCCACTGACACTTTTACTTTCACTTTCCACCACTCCACATCAGGAATATGCTCCTCCAACATTCGCTGTTCCTCGACCCTTTTGTTCCTGTCCTTTCCCGCCCCCTTACCCCGTTCCCCATCACCTTCATTCCCTTCCCTCTCTCTTCTCTCTTTCCCCACCCTCATTTCCCGCTCCTTTCTGTCCTTTCCCCACTCAACGCCCCCTTTCTGGCCCCATCCTCCCCCCGAAATTGTCTCTCCTCCAATTCCTCCTGGGTGCTCCGCCCAATTCCATCCCCCGTCTGTTTCAGCGATACTAGGAACTGCAGATGCTGGAGAACCTGAGATAACAAGGTGTAGAGCTGGATGAACACAGCAGGCCAAGCAGCATCAGAGGAGCAGGAAGGCTGAAGAAGGGTCTCGGCCCGAAACGTCAGCATTCTTGCTTCTCTGATGCTGCTTGGCCTGCTGTCTTCATCCAGCTCTACACCTTGTTATCCCCGTCTGTTTCCCACGATCTGCGTCATTTCCGGTAGTTGCGCTGTGGTAGGTTCCTGTGAGAGAGCGTGTGTGGAGCGGTTCGGTCTGCCAGGTGAGACTGTGTGTAATAATAAATAAAATTATTAGGTCCTTCACCCGGAGAATTGTGTTTACATGGTAATTGCTCTCTCATTGAGCTGTTTGCCCTGGGTTTATTTACTCGCATAGACCTGTGTTTCCAACGGGATATTGATGAGGCCCACTCAACCCGGTCCGTAGTCAGTGACTGGACTCTTTCCCAACAGAAAAGATGTTTGTGTTCGGTTGAGTTTTTCGTGTGAAGTGTCAGTTGCTGTTGAAGCATGCATTCGTTATTTTTGAAATATTTATCATTGTTTAAGATGTGCACCACCAATCCTGTAATCGTTGTGCATGGAGGTTGCGGAAGATATCCAGAGGGCCGTAAGGAAGCGTGTCTGCTGGAAGTTAAGAAGGCTGCTGTGCATGGTTATCGCCGCTTTCATCACGGGGGTAGTGCCCTAGATGTGGTGGAAGAGGCTTCAGTCATGTTGGAGAACTGCCCTTTATTTAATGCTGGTAAGCTGATTCCTTTCATCTACTTTAAATTTCAAAATTAATCTTTTGCTTGAGTGGCTTGTTGTAAATTTTCAAGCATGAACCTGTGCCCCCTTGTAATTGAAACTTCAACCTTGGGAGAAAGCCTCTGACTATCCACCCTGTCTATACCTTTCATAATTTTGTAGACCTCTATCAGGTCTCCTCTCAGCCACCATCTTTCTAGTGAAAATAATCCTAGTCCTTTTTAACCGTTCCTCATAGCCAGTGCCCCTGAGATCGGGCAACATCCTGGTGAACCTTCTGTACACTGTCTCCAAAGCTTCCACGTCTTTCTAGTAATGTGGTGACCAAAACTGCGCACAATACTCCAAAATCTGCCTAACAAGGGTTTTGTATAAGAAAGCAGTGGAGGTTAGATAGACCTTAGGTTTCGGGTAAAAGTTCGGCACAACATCGTGGGCCGAAGGGCCTGTACTGTTCTATGTTCTATATTCTAACATGTTTTGCCAACTCTTGTACTCCATGCCCCAGCTGATGAAAGCAAACATGCCGTATGTCTTAATCACTTTGGCTACCTGTGTTGCCACTTTTAGGGAACTGTGGATCTGCATGCCCAGATCTGTCTGTATGTTAATGTTCCGAAGAGTTCTGCCATTTAAAGTATAATTCACATCTAAACTCGATCCTCAAATGCATCACCTTGCATTTGTCTGGGTTAAACTCCATCTACCATTTCTGTGCCCAAGCAGCCAATCTGTCCATATCCTGTTGTATCCTTTCACAATCGTTGGCACTGTCAGCAACTCCACCAATCTTCCTGTCATCTGCAAACTTATCAGACTACTCACATTCTTCTCTAGATCACTTATACATACTACAAACAGAGGACCCAAGACTAATCCCTGTGGAACACCGCTAGTTACTGGTCTCAATTCTGAAAAACACCCTTCCACCACTACCCTCTGACCTCTATGATCAAGCTAGTTTTGTATCCATCTAGCTAGCCCACCCTGAATCTCATGTGATTTTAGTTCTTGTACCAATTTGCCATGTGGGACTTTATCGAATGCCTTACTGAAGTCCATATAAACCACATCCACATGTCCTTCTCCTGTGTGAATATTGATACATAGTACTCATTAAGGATCTCTCCGATTCTTGTGGCTCCACGCATAACTTCCCTCCTTTGTCCTTGAGGGGCCTACTCTTTCCCTTGCTACCCTCTTTCTTCTAACATATGTATAAAAAGCCTTGGGATTCTCCTTGACCCTGTTTGCTAAAGACATTTCACAGCCCCTTTTAGCCTTCCTAATTCTGCATTCAAGTTCCTTCCTAATTTCTCTGTACTCATCAAGGGCTTTGTCAGTTTGTAGCCACCTAGACTTATTGAATGCTTCCTTTTTCTTTTTAACTAATTTTACAATTCCCCTTGTCATCCAAAGTTCCTGAATTCTGCCATTGCTATCCTTCAGTTTTGCAGGAACATGCATGTCCTACACTTGAGCAATAGGTCTTTAAAAGCCTCCCACATGCCAGAAATCTTTGGGACAGTGGGACAGTGGCACAGTGGCTCAGTGGTTAGCACTGCTGCCTCACAGTGCCAGGGACCCAGGTTCAATTCCAGCCTCGGGCGACTGTCTGTGTGGAGTTTGCACAATCTCCCCGTGTCTGCGTGGGTTACTTCCGGGTGCTCCGGTTTCCTCTCACAGTCCAAAGATGTGCAGGCTAAGTAGATTGGCCTTAGTAAATTGCCCGTAGTATTGAGGGATGTGTAGATTAGGTGGGTTATAGGGGGATGGGTCTGGGTGGGATGCTCTGAGGGTCGGTATGGACTTGTTGGGCCGAAAGGCCTGTTTCCACACTGTAGGGATTCTATGATTAAACCATTTTTTCTTGAATGTCTCCTCTTGGTATTTTGTAAGATCCAGCAGCATCAGGTATTTAAGTTAGAAAAAAAATGCTTGTTTACATTAAAATCTGGTATTGGAGATAAACTAGTCAGCAGAAGGATGTTTAGTCTTTGGAGCCTCCTCTGCTATTCAGTATGATCATGGCTGATGACCTATCTCAGTGCCATACTTCCACTTCCTCTCCATACAGGATGTCATTAAAGTCTAAAGAATTATCTGTCTCTTTCATGAATATGTTCAGTGACTTGGCCTTCTCAGTATTATGGTGGAGAATTCCATAGGTTTGTTACCCTTTGATTGAAGGAATCTTTCCTCCTTTCAGTCTGAAATGGCCTATACCGTATCCTTAAACTGGTTGGTAAGTCTAGAACCAAGAGAAACATCCTTTCTGCATGAAGTTTGTCCAGCCTGGTTGAATTTCATGCATTCTACTCAGATCCCGTCTAATCCTTTTGAACCCTAGAGAATACAGGTCAAACCAATCTCGCCTCAAGATATTTCTGCTATCCCTGGTCAGCCTAATGAACATCTGCAGTGCTTCATCCAATACAAGTATATTTGTAGGTACAGTAAGTATAACTGCATGTAACACTCCAGGTGTGGCCCTATATAACTGCCATATGACATGCCTGATTATGAACTTTGATTCTCTTGCAATGAAGATCAGGATACCATTTGTCTTCCTAATTGCTTGCTGCCCCTGTCTCTATTCTCTCATTATCGTACACGATCCCATTTTATTTCCAAAATATCACCATTTTAAAAAGTACTGTTACCTTTTTATTTTTCATACCAAAGCATAAAATCTCAGATTTCACCACTTTGCAGTGCACGTGCTATGTGTTTGCCGTTAGTCAACTTATCTAAATCACCTTGAATTCTCTTTGCTGGTAAGAAATCTCAATCCTGCACAGTTTTGTGTCAACAGCAAACTTTGAAATGTTGCAATTGGTTTCCTTATCTCCAGCAGATAAAGAAGCACTGGCCTAAACAACTACTTGAACTGTTGTTGGTGAGTAGCAGATAAGTTTTGAGATATTGTTATCAGTGCAGAGAGCACCAGCTTCAATTTAGTATTAGAAGTATTTGACACAGTAGGAGAGCTCCAATTCGTAGTCTGCTCCTCTGGTCCTCTCTCTCGATGTGAGAAACCAGGCACATTTCTTGTGCCTGAGACTGGCATGTGTGCAAGACGTATCTCCAGCTGCAGCTCCGAGAAGCCCGGGTTCTGGAGTTAGAGTGGTGTCTGGGGACACTGGAGCATTCGCGTCCGAGTGTCATGGATAGCACGTATAGAGGGATGGTCATAAGACATAGGAGCAGAAATTAGGCCATTCAGCCCATTGAGTCTGCTCCGCCATTCAATCATGGCTGATGAGTTTCGCACTATCTTTCTCCCTGTAACCGTTGATCCCCTTGACAATCAAGAACCTGCCTGTCTCTATCTGAAATGTACTCAATGACCTGTCATCCACAGCCTTCTGTGGCAGTGTATTCCATAGATTCACCACTCTGGCTGAAGAAGTTTCTCCTTATCTCTGTTCTAAAAGGTCTCCCCTTTCCTCTAAGGCTGTGCCCTTGGATCCTAGTCTCTCCTACCAATGGAAACATCTTTCCAACATCCACTCTGCAGGCCATTCAGTCTTCTGTAAGCTTCAATTAGATCCCCCCCTTTATCCTTCTAAACTCCATCCAATATAGACCGAGTCCTCATATGTTAAGCTTTTCGTTCCTGGGACCATTCTCGTGAACCTGCTCCAGGGCCAGTACATCTTTCCTGAGATATGGGGCACATAACTGCACACAGTACTCCAAACGTGGCCTGACCAGAGTCTCTTAGAGCCTCAGAAGTACATCCCTGCTTTTATATTCAAGTCCTCAAAATAAATGCCAAAGTTGCATTTGCCTTCCTAACTACTGACTCAACCTGCAAGTTTACCTTGGGAAAATCCTGGGGACTAGAACTCCCAAGTCTGTTTGCACTTCAGACTTCTGAATTTTGTCTCCATTTAGAAAATAATCCATGCTTCCATGCTTCTATTCTTCTTACCAAAGTGCATGACTTCACACTTTCCCACGTTGTACTCCATCTGCCACTTCTTTGCCCACTCCTGACCTGTCCAAGTCCTTCTTCAGCCTCCCTGCATCCTCAGTTCTACCTGTCCCTCTGCCTACCTCTGTACCGTCCACAGACTTAGCCAGAATGCCCTCGGTTCCTTCATCTAGATCAACACTGACCCTAATGGAAAATCACTTGTCACCAGCTGCCATTCTGAGAAAGACCCTTTTATCCCCACTCTCTGCTTTCTGCTAGACAGCCAGTCTTCTTTCCATGATAGTACCTTGCCTCTAAAGCCATGGGCCCTTTACTCGAAGGCTTAGAGCAGCCTCCTGTGCAGCACCTTGTCAAAGGCCTTCTTGAAGTGCGGGTAGATAACATCTATTGGCTCTCCTTGCTCTAACCTGCTTGTTACATCCTCACAGAATTCTAACATATTTGTCAGGCATGACATCCCCTTGATGAAGTCGTGCTGACTTTGCCTTATTTTACCATGCACTTCCAAGTATTCAGAAATCTCATCCTTCACAATGGACACTCAAATTTTACCCATGACTGAGGTTAAACTAATCGGCCTGTAATTTTCAGTCTTTTGCCTTACTCCCTTTTTAAATGGGTGTGTAAGCTTATTGATTTTCCAGACCTCTGGGACCCTCCCTGACTCTAGTGATTCCTGAAAGATCACCACTAACGCCTCTACTACCTCTTCAGCTATCTCCTTAAGAACTCTAGGGTGTAGTCCATCTGGTCCTGGTGACTTATCCACCTTCCAGCCATTAAGTTTTTCTAGCACCTTATCCTTGGTGATGGCCATCATACTGAGCTCTGCCCCCGACACTCCTGATTTTTGGGATATTACTCATGTCTTCCATTGTGAGGACTGATGCAAAGTAATTATTCAGTTCCACAGTCATTTCCTTGTTCCCCACTACTATCTCTCCAGTGTCATTTTCCAGCAGTCCGTTGTCCACTTCTGCTTCTCTTTTGCCCTTTATATATCTAAAGAAACTCTTGCAGTCCTCCTTTATATTACTGGCTTGCTTACCCTC